AATATCAAACAAACCTTGTAGATAGCGAGAGCTATAGCTCCAAGATTTCCAAGAATGAAAATAATCTTATGAACAATCATGCTTCCAGTGTTCTGATCCTGAACAATTATTCATAATAAGAACATCTGAAAAAAAGCCAATCACCTCTAGCGGTTTGAATGTAGCGTTGACAGCAAACAGCGCTTTCGCTGGTCGCCAAAGCATCATTCCGACCATCATAATGGGGAAGATCGACACCTGAAAAAACGATCTCATCATTACTTTTCAATAGCAGTCCAACATAATATTTCCAGTGCAGGAAGGAAAGTAGACAAAAAAATTTCGGATGAATGAACGTGGCGCTATCCGCACCCTTCCGAATTCTAGGTGCTTTCCAAAAAAATCTTCGGGCCTACATGGCGGTAGCCAACCCTCGAAAAAAAAATTTTTCATAGCATATTTCAAAAAAAAAACGAAATTCTCACTGATTACTAATGAACAAGTATTTCCACATTTTTATATGATCCATGTAGTCACCCTCATACCTCTCCCCCGCCCCCTCCTCAATCCACAGCTACCAATATGAGTGCTCTACTAAACATGATGGAGAAAAATCTAGCCTAACTCACACTTCGTCCTGCCATGTACATCATAAACATATTCATTGGAAGGCTTTTGGCTGGTGCCATTGCAACATCCCAAGCACGCTTTTTAGCCAAATGTTCTTGCTGCTCCGAAGCCTGCTCGTTGTCCACCTCCAAAAAATACTTCTGCATTTTAGGCACAACAGCGAGAAATGAAAACTTGCATGATGTTGAGCAGAAGCAGCGCCAGAGTGGAAACCAGGCGGATTGTATGCACTGTCAGCTGTTCTGCAACTCCGCGATGCGCCACTGTAGTCAAGTTTCCACTGCGCAAGTGACATTTCTATAATCACCGGTAGATAAGTAGCAGAAATAACACACTCAACTTTCAAAAAAACAAAGGAGCAGCATCCATTACAACGAGGAAACTCATAGAATAGAAATTTATTTGAACTCCAACGAACTGGAGAACATCGACAATTATTAAAAAAATACATCGGGAACAACTGACAAGCTTTAAACTACCGGCAA